ATTAGTCAATTATTTTTCCCTTCTTTAATCCTCCCCCACTTTCCACCCCTGACCTATGGAGGTTGCTGTCTCTCTTTTTTTAGGAACTGGATCTCTGAAGGAGGGGCGTCTCCCCCATGCACTCGTGGTGTGCACACGAGGCTTGGCTCTCCCGGGGCCTGGCACCCCCGGTGCACTCGAGGGGCCTGGCACATCTAGGAGGCCCGATGCACCTGGGGCCCAACACACCCAGGCCCAGGCGTACCCCGGGGTATGGTCTGTGGCTCCACCTGGGGCGTGAACCCAGGCCCTTCTGCATATAAAGCAGACATGCTAACCATTATACTATGGGGCCACCCCAGTCAATTATTTTTTAAGTGTTACTACCAGTTGCTGTTTCCTGTGGCTTCTTTTGCTCCCAGTAAGCTGTGATTCTCTGTATCCACCTGTCTCTCCAGTTTCTGGGGCAGTGGTTTCCACTGTTATCTCAGTTAGCTGATGCATATAAGAAGTGTTGCTTTTCTTCTTGTTCATTGTTTTTCTTCTTGTGAGGATGACAGTGACAATGTTGAAGTCCTTTGCATGTCAGATCAGAAGTGAAATCAACCCTAGCATTAGAGTGATAACTTTAGATTATTTTTTGATCATCTTCAGACTCCTATAGAAATGTGAGTCACATTATCTCCTGACAGCCATTAACATATCATAATATATGTGTATTCATCTGAAAGCAGAATACTGGGGCTAATAATAATAAAATAATATTTATAGAATTGTTTTAGCATTGGATACTCTATATTACAGAACATTTACATGCATTAACTCATTTCATTCTCATAATCATCCTCATTGACAAATACTATTATCACCACCTTTTTTTTTTTATAGCTGAAGTAAGAGGTTTAGATCAATTAAGTAGCATGCTCAAGAACATACAATTTTAGATTCCATCCCAAGTGTGTGAGACTAGAACTTATACTCTTAACCACTGTAGGGTACCAACATCAACATTAGGACTGTGAAGATAGAAAATTGGAGAAATAGAGCTAGGGAGGGGAAAGATTTTCTGGAGTGGGTTATCCTGGGTATTTTGAGTAGAGATAGGGTTGAGAAGAGCAAGGTTGATATCTAATTCATGGTTGTGCTCCTATCTCTATCATTTTTAAGCTGAAGAAAGTTCAGGATTTCTGAAGATTGTTAGGCAGATGCCTAGATGTTCTACGGAATAGTTCAATCTTCACGGAAAAGGAGGGAAGTGGGATCTGAGGGGATGAGTGTTAGGTGTTTGGAAAAAGGTGCTTTGAGGACCAAAGGTTATATCATTCGCTTGTGATTGCACAGCTGCCTTGTGTCTGAACTTCAGTATCAGAATAAATATTTAAATGTGACTCCCTAGTGTTCTTGTCATGTGCTCTGAACAGCACTGACGTGTACATAACCAACAAGCCAAACTGATTGAAAAACACCTGTGTGCTTCTGAGGGAAAAAGTGGACTGTGAATACAGTGGTGAATATTTCAGGATGGAAATTCCAAGATCCAAATGTAGCTGGCAACAGGATATTTCAAGAGTCTTGGTCAACAGATATTTCTGTTTAACATCATGAGTTTCCAGCCCAGCAACTGCTAGCAAGTGACATTTGCCACCCTGGAAAGCTGAGAGTGAGAGAAGGAAGCTGGGCTTTAAGGGATGACATTATTTTGACTGAGCAAGGATGTCGTATAACAAACTGCTCTATGTGGGGACATCTAGGCGATGAAATTGAGCTATTTGTTGCATGAAGGTATCTCCAGCAAGACTGGCCCTCAGAAAAACTTTCAGATTGATGATGTTTACTTGAATGGTTTCAGGGGCATTAAATAATAGAAGAATTACACACTGAAGACAGTATTAGGGCCCTGCTCACATTTCAGGCTGTGGTGGTGTGTTCTTGCCTCAGATAAACAACCATCTTGAGACTTGACCTATATGTTTCAAAATTATTTGTCCGAGAGGCTATCAGAATTAAATTAAACAGTTCTGGAGGCAATGAGGTATTGCAATGTTATGTATTCACTAAGAAAGAAGTGATGAGAAAATTGGGGCAGGAAAGAAGCAGTAACAGTATTAAGCCTAGTAGCAGCAGCTTAAGGAAGAGATGATGCAAATAATAAAGATTCTGGAAAACTTCTGAGATTCAATATAGAAAACTATATGTAGGTAGGATAGTCAATGAGGTAACTGTGAAGAATGGACTGGTGAGGGCAGGATGGTCATCTATGAGGCTAATGAACAAAATACAGTTCCTCTACCCACCTGCTAGGATTAGCTTTGGAGTGGCCTTTTAGGAGCTATACATTTTCAGTGTGTTAAAGTATTATGTTGCTTGGGAATGGTTAACCTATTAGTGATTTTTTTTTAATCAAATTAGTTTATTAGTACTAATTTTCACAAGCAGAGCTGGAGGTTTGGAAGAGACATAATCCAGGACTGAAAGTTTAGGGATGGAAAACATTCTATGTGCTGGATAACTACTATATATAGTGCTGCCCAACAAGAGTGTAATTAGTAAACTATGTAAGCCTCTGCATTCTGGCTGCTCACATGGTAATGTATATTATCCCCATAAGCAGTGTAAGAAACTGAGACCTAAAAAAAAGTTAAGCAAATTTGTCCAAGATCACAGAACTTGGGAGAACCCCAGATTTTGACCTAAAGCTGTGTTTCTCTAAAGGCAGTTTGCCTTTTCATCTATACAACATTGTCTGAAAAATGGTGGAGTTGACTTGAAGATTACATTTTTTCAATGCCACAGTTAAACAGACAAACAAACAAACAAACAAACCTCTATTAGGAACAAAGAATCCTTTATAAGGCTGGATAGTAACTTGGAAAGTACTTGGAACTATCTAGCTCTAATCCAAGTACATGTAAGGATTACAGGCTATTCTTCATCAGGAGTGATTTTCTAATTCCTATACATGGTTTAGATTTTACTTCTTGGGAAAAAAAAAAAAAAAACAAAGCAATGTGGAGGGAAAATGAAAATGGTTTTTTGCATACAGCCATTATGCAAAAAAAAAAAAATGACATTAGAAAACAATACCATTTGTCTTTGGATAAAATGAGTGTGTGGGCTCATTTGCCTGCCCCTACCACCACTATGTGGAAGTGAAACAGCTTAGTTTTCATTTTCCTTTCCTCTAAAAATGCCCAAAGGGACCATATTTTTGTTTAATAACCTTCAGAATTATTCTTTAGAAATCTGAGGCTATCAGAGTTGGAAGCAATGTGAAAATAATTGTGGATTATTATTGTATGATGATAGTGACAGCTGGGCTATTTATTTTTCTTTCTGTTCAGATTTTCTTATTCATTTTCCCAGAAACCTTATATCCTAAGCTTTAATTCTGAAACAAATCTCATATAGGTGATGAACCTTGCCAGACATGGTATATAATATAATTTCAGACAAACCCTTAACTGTTTTTTGGAAAGACCCTAGGGAATAAAAGTCTTATATCTAGATGTCCTATATAATATTACTTTTATTTACTCTCTGACAATGTGTGTGGGTAGTTGTATTGGACATAGAGCAAGCGTATCTTTTAAATATTACACCTGTGAACTTGAGGGCCACTTTTTGTGTTTTGTTGTCAAAACCCCTGCTATCATAAAAGAAAAAAAAGTTGTTACAGTAAAAAAAAAAAAACAACTAATAAATGAGTACTCGCTCTCCAAAAACACTTTACATACATGCACAAAGACATACACACACATACACACTCATGCAGAGTTGAGGACTGAACATCAGCACTGATTCTACCTTTATATAAATGGTTAAGATGTGTGCGAGGAAGGCGGCAGTGAGGGGGCGAGGAGAGGTCGAGAAGATGTTTTATGTACCATAGTTTGGAAAGTGGAAAGTGCTCTCAACTATTATTCACATACTCTGCCTCACAATCAATTTTTTATTGCCTTAACTGACAGATTCAGAATTTGGTTGATAAAATACTTTTGCCTTGATTATTCAGCACTCCCTTGCAGCTATCCCCTATACATCCCCTGATGTTTTACAGCTTTTGGTGACCACTTTGGCTGAACATTTGAGATGAGTGGTAAACAAGCTGGAATAATATCTAAAAAGTAGTCTAAGAAAATTCCCCAAAGATAAAGCTACTTGGCTGAGTATTCTTACATACTTGGCTATTGCTATATCATTCTCACTCTCTGTAAGAATTAAACATTCTTTTCTAGGGATAGTCAACCCCAGTAGCAGGACTCTCTCACATTCTCATCAGAAGAGTAGAAAAATTTTCTTCAAATCCCAAATCTTATTCTCTGGTCATATATCACTAAACCCAGAAAGTAAATGGATAATTTCTCCTTTCTGTTACTAAAACAAAGTATGTCCTCATTTCACCAGCTATGTTTCTAGAGAACTCCTTTAGCCTAATTGTCTAGACCCCTCCTCCCACCATCCAAATGGATCTCTTGACTCTGAGGAGGGAGACTGGAATATTAATATTAGTTTTTACTGTAAGAAGGAATAAACGAAATCATTGTAGACATCATTGCCAATGTAAAAGCCTATTATGCATTTTTAATAATGCCTAAGACTCGCTTTTAGTATACTATGGTGCTAAATGAACACTATATCCTCTTAGGACTCTTAGGAAATAACTCTGTCAAATAGAAAGAACCAGGGCATTATGATGATATTTAGTGACTTTTAAGGTTCTGCTATACCTCTTTTACATTTGGGGAGTTCGTATGTATTTCTGTTTTTGCAGATGTCTCTAGAGACTTTCTGCTCTTAGGAACAGGCCTTTAGTGGCTCTTAGGGTGATAGTTGTGATATGTGAATTGGACACAATAAGAAATAATTGTGACTTTTTTGGCCATTGACTTAACTCTTTATTTACATTTTTTGAAAACTAGAGAGGAAAATACAAAAAAAAAAAAAAGTACAAACTTGCCAGTACTAAGACTTAGTGGTGTGAATTTTTATTTTTTGCTTATTTGAAAATATTTTCTCCACAGGAATGCAAGCCCAAAATGTGGAGGAGCATAATAATACAGAAAGGAAATGCTCTTCTAATCCAGGAAGTTCATGAAGAAGATGGAGGAAATTATACTTGTGAACTTAAGTATGAAGGAAAACTTGTAAGACGAACAACCGAATTGAAAGTTACAGGTAGGACTTGTTTTTTCCAAATTATGGCAAATGAGATTTTTAAGTATAATTTGGTTTGGGGAGAAAGAGTTTCCTACAAAGAGCCAACTTGCTGTGGCTTTAGAATTGGTTGAAATCAAATAGTTGAGAAACTCACTATTAATAAGTTGTACTGATAAACTATATGCGGAATTACAGTGTATAATTCAGCATATAACTTATCATGAAAAATTAACTTATGGAACAAGAGCACAGTTGTCGTTTATCTGTTCTCTGCCTTTATGAAAGATTCTTAATTCTTCAACATATCATTGATTGTTACTAAACATCTCAGAAAAGATATACTGGAACCATTCTAGAATGCTGACTTAACCCACATGTGGAATCTCCTTGTCGGTGAAGGCTGCCTCAGAATGAGGTTCTGTTGGGCTTTTGGAATACAGTCTTCTTGGACTACAGACAAAATATCATTTATACAAAATTGCTCATAAATGAGTGACATTATTGTGGTGATTCTTAACTATAGGAACTCCAAAAGAATGGATGCATATATATGTTTTAAATGTGAAATTAAAGCGAAATGTAAACTAGTAATCATAGTTGTGGAAGAGAGAAACTCAGGATATTTTTACCTGTTGGAGAATTTTCTAATGTAATTTTTAGAATCATAGGACAGAACATGATACCATTAGTTATCCCCAAAGATGGATGTGATGAGTTCTAAGAAACTGTACAATAAAAAGTCTACCTGCTATTGTTCCTCTGCAAATCTTATGTGTGTTTTAGATGTATGTTTGTATGTATAAGTATACATACATTTGTATTGTAGGTAAAATCTGAGGAATGGTAAAATTTGACATTATCCAGACAATTATAATACTGATTGCTTTAATTAACTTATTACTAATGTACTGGGATGTTATTTAGTTGTCTAATGTTGACATCAACTAGTTGGTTAATTATAACATATTCTTGCTAATGTTAGGAATACAGATATTCTTCTGTATTATTTTTGTATATGTCTAGCAACATTTAACATTTAGGATAATGTTAAAATCAGTCTACTAATAATGAAATTTACTGAGTGAGTTCGTTGCTGTAACTCATATATTTAATTAAGTTTTTGATCCCCGAGAAAGTAATTTTTGTCTATTTCAAAATTCTGAGTGTTAACACCAGGAGGAAAAATAATTAGAAAATAATAAATGTACTTTAGCTCAGCAGTCCCTAGCCTTTTTGGCATGAGGAACCGGTGCTTCTGTGAAAATCTAATGCCTGATGATCTGAGATGGAGCTGAGGAGGTGATTCTAGTACTGGGGAGTGGCTGCAAATACAGATGAAGCTTTGCTCACTGGCCTGCTGCTCATTTCCTGCTGTGCAGCCTGGGTCCTAATCAGCCACAGACCAGGACTGGTCTGTGGCCTGAAGGTTGGGGTCCCCTGCTTTAGCTCACTTGCTATACTAGTACTTGACAGTACTGATGCAGGACAGGACAAATTTCCCTGGGTTGGTGGTCGGGGGAGACTAAGCCCTGCACTGAGAAAAGAGAGTCCTTTGGGGATGCGTGTAGAACAAATTCAACACACACACCAAAGTTAGAGTCAAAAGGAAAGTTTATTAGAAAATAGATAACACTCCACAGAGTGTGGTCTCTTCTTAGAGGCAGAGAGTGAGAGAGACAGTGAGAGAGAGACAGAGTAAAGGCACTGAGAGAGAGAGGCAGTGAGTGGGAGGCGGGGTGAGTGTTCAGGAAATTCAATATATATATCATTCTTTAGTTCCTGTAAATTATAGTTGAAAATACTTTGTTAACCTATTTCTTTTGATATGGACATACAGTGTGGAAGGGGAAGATTATGTAGCATGAAAAGGTAAGAATAAGTAGAGTGAAAGGCCTGCTGGTAGTTCCCAGCCTTTAATCCACAGGTTCTCCATGGTTTTAGCTATAGGGAATGAATGATTTTACTTTGTGTAGGGCAGCCATTTAAGGACTCTGTTGCTCCTGTTTCCCCTTCTATAGGTATGAGGAAATGGGTTGTTAGCAATCCCAGCAGAAATCTTACTTTGTTCTGAAAGTGTCTTCCTGGCCTGGCTGCACGGCTGATGAGCATACTGCAGTCTCTGAATGTAGCTTGATTAACATTTTTAATTCTCTTGCCTCCTCCCTACATTAGTATTACTTCTTAGTCTGAATTTGTAGAGTACCTTCTGTGAAAATTTAAATTATTCTTTTGATTAGAATACATGTTCTTTCCCCAGGAGCTTTCAAAATAACTACCATATTGGGCCAATCCCAAATATCTGCTTTTGATTAATTTCTGATTTCCTCAACATGAACTAGACTTCATGCCTCATTCAAGCAGAAGTGTCAATCATAGCCATGGTGCATCATTAATCAGTGACTTGACTGTGCATGAATCTTGCAGCATCATCACTTTGATCACAGTCACACAATCCTTATCAGATGCTTGTAGAGCACTTCCATTTTAGAATCATTTCCTAAAGTTTGTTGACATCAAAGTATTTGGCTTGGGTTTTAAGTAAACATCAAACATCTTTATGCTTCCATCTAATGGTGACAATACATTTGCTTCTTTAGTTTCTTTTTTATATCTGGAAAAGCAGAGCTAGAACTACTTATTTTGTGTATTTTATAAAGCATTAATTTGCTTGCCCCAAACTTTTAGTATAGCGGAACTATAGTTTTAAAATTTCACCTGAACTTGACCTTCCAGGGTTCTCCAATTGTAATATGCATTAGAATTATGTGGAAGAATCCAGGTAGGGTGAAGATGAGGCTCTTCAGATACCGATTCCCAGATCTCTCCCCCAATTCAGTACATCAACTGGGAATTTGCCTTTTTGTCCAGGGGATTCTGCCGCATGCCTTCCAAGGACTATGCTTTGAAAAACACTAGCTGAGAGAATGGTGCTAAATAAGTCAAAGTCATAGATTTGATTCCCTTGTAACAGCATATTAGTCTAAATACACATGCACACACATACACGCACACCTGAAAACTAATTTTCATAGCCTTCAAATTGTTTCACCTAAGCTCCTAAGAGGTGTCATGAAAAATACAGGTTCTTAGTCACCAAGAGAAACCTGTTGAGGGAATGTATGGATAAAGCAACCTTAATTACTGAAATAATCATATGTTCATTTACCATTTAAATAAAAGAAATCTAAGTATGGATTATGTACTGAAAAAATTCAAAATAATCTTAGGTCAGTGGTCATTGTTCATATAAGGAAATATTAAGTTTATATATTCACATAGTTCAATTATTATGTTTGATGCAGAAACAAAATGACTTTTTGTATAGAAGTTGAAGAGGTTGCTCTGTGAAGGTTTATTCTTATCTGCAATATTATATGTTACATTGTGCTTTGTATGGTCAATTTTAAACAGCAATTAAACAACAGATTTTCCTCTAGTGATTCAAAATATAATGCTGGGATTATTTAAAGAGTAACCCAGTCATACTTGTTTTGAGTTTAGCAATATTCAGGCATGGGATAGGAATTTCAATATGAAATTGTAAGGATTGGTTAATTACAAATTATGTAGTTTAGAGGTTAAGATTGCATATTGTAAGTGTGCAAGTGTTAAAAGACTATAAAAGTTTTAAAAGGTTATTTTCTGACTGTTCTTTTAAAATTTATAAATCTGATAAATATTTCTTCAGTAAAACAAGTGTTCTCTTAAAGTATATATGTGTTACTTGCTTTAAATAGACCAGTTATAAAAGGATCCAGACATTCAAAACTGATTAATTAGAAGGCAATAATTGGCTGTATGAAATTATTTTTTCCATATAGGAGAATTTTTCATAGGATTTCTTTAAATAGCCAACTTTCCTACTGCATTAAAATAGGATTTGATTTAAGTGCAACTTTCCCAGAACACTTTAAACATTATATATATATTGTATAGAAGTTGAAGAGGTTGCTCTGTGAAGGTTTATTCTTATCTGCAATATTATTTGATTTAAGTGCAACTTTGTATATGTATGTATATATCTCATATATACATATATATGTATATGTATGTATGTACATACATATACATATATACATATACATATATATGTATATGTATATATCTACATATATATATATGTGTGTGTATATATGTGTATGTATATATATGTGTGTGTGTGTGTATATATATACATATATATGTGTGTATACATATATATATATTTATCGCATCTTGTTTATAACTAATCTGTGGAGGCCAACAAGATTGTGGAATTTTTTTATTCCTTTGAAAGCTCCAAATGAGTAGGGCGGGGTTTAACAACAAAGAGACATGTGCAATAGTGTGTTTAGGTCATTTGGCAAAGATGCCAACAGCCAGCATTTTTATTTCCCACACCATATTTTCGTTGGCTACTTGCTGTTTTATTGATATTTTTTTCTTTTCTCACATTGTATTTTGTGCAGAGGGCTAGTTGAAGTGATAAAGAAAGAAGGGAGGGTTGGTTATATGATAGTGAGGATGTAGAACAGGTGATAATGGACGAAGGAGAAGAGTTGTGGGCAAGCTAATGAAACAGGCTCCTGGGATTAGAGGAGACTGTCTGCTTTGAGAAGGTCAAAGGCAGACATAAATTATAGGGGCTTCCAAAAATAAACACAAGCAGGAAGCCAGCACTAATTAAATGTATTTGGAAGATAATTTACCATTCACCTGGCAAATCATTCACAAATGCATGATTTTATGCAACTTTTTAGAAATGCACATTAGCTATTTAGGAAAAAAAAAAAAACACTAATCTGCCCTCAGGTAAATATGCAAATAATACCCCTACTCCTGATTATTGTAGACAGCTCTAGAGTTGCTGATTTGGGTCTCTTCGCACTTTAGAGATAATCTCTTAACCCCTTGGTATCTGAACACAATAACTAGAAAGAGAGGTATATTCTATGGACATGTTTCAAAGATTTGCTGCTGGGTTACTATTTAGCAATAGAAGCAAAGCAGTCTGGTAAAATTGCAAAACTTGGTAAAAC